GAACAAACCATTGAACCGAGGCGTCAAGGTACAGTGAGCATATAAAAGATCTGTGTTCACTGTACCTTGACGCCTCGGTTCAATGCTTTGTTCGTGGTCAATGAACCTGAGTATGGAAAGTCGTGAATGACCGAGGGAKACTGTSATGCACTAGAAAAATGARGAGGAAACGCTTATTTCTTGGCGGGATTCAAGGCACCAGCTAGKCCAAGAGGATACCAGAGGGATCCCAAAAGAGCTGAATGAAGTGTTGCTTGCCGAGGATATATTGATAGTATATTCAGGATACCTGTGTCATCATTTTGTCTCCTATCAGTAGAAGTCTCTTGGCAGCCTTGTAGTAGATGGTGTCTGGTGCATTATATATTGTAGCATTGTTGCACATCAAATGAAAGTCATCCTGTAGAACATTACAAACCTTGTTACAGTCTGGATTCAAGATTTAATGTTTATTGTATAATTTGAAAACTAATTGTGATACCTCTATATACACATAGTATATACTCTGGTAATATTGCAGTTTGCAGTGATGTACGCAATCCATATAATATATTTATAACGATAAACAGAATATTACATGCCCGCTTTGTGATACAACTTCATCTTCAAATGTTGAAAACCATGTATTGAGATGTTTTCAACAATCAAATGTTTACATTGTATGTAATATGGGATTATGAGGCCAAATCAATGAATTCTCCATGAATACTTTGTGTTGTAACAACTCAGATTTCTCTGAGTAAGGGTTCAAAAATACCTAAAGTTTTTGAGATTTAAAAATCTCAAAATACATTCTACATGTGCCAAAAACATAGATGATTATTTCTTTGCTGTCTCTACTTTATCACAACAAAACCATATCAATGAAATACCAACCCTGAAACCTTCAATAGTTGTATACTGTCCACTGTCAATTTTGTTTCTTATWGTACTGAAATCCATAGGTTTCTCAATGACTCTGGAGTATCCTGGAGCTATGGCATCATTAACAGGAAAAGCAAAGAAACCTTGAACGTCTTTTCTATGATATCAAACACAGCAAACGAGTCAAGCAGGGTAAACAAGTCAAACAAGTCAAACAGGTCAACAGTAGTGATAATATGGATTGATGTAAATCCAGCTGGAGAAAATTACTTTTTGCATTTTATCATCACCTATTTAGGACCAAGAATTTACAGTCATTAATATGTCAGGCATGAATACATTAAGGTTGACTTAGACAGCAAAATGTCTGGTTTGCCGTCTGACTTAGACGCCAAAGCGTCTAGTTTACTGTCTGACTTAGACGGCAAGGTGTCTGGTTTACGGAATGTCTAATTTACTGTCTGCGACTTAAAGCGACAATAATGTCTTGTTATGTTATTGACTTAAACGGCAATAAAGTCTGCTTAACTGATAGTCTAAGATAGCTAAAATGGCTGGTATATTGATAACTATAAGATAGCAGTAATGTCTGGTAAACTGCAATTGAAAAAATACAATAAATGTCTGATTAACTGATTGACTAATTTATTCATGCTTCCGAAATGATTGATTTACCTTTGGATAATGGTTAGAAGATTCTCCAGGCAAAGCTGTAATGCTGTAGGATCAGCTTTAGGTTTCTTCTTGGCTGATAGAACAGAAAGCAGGAAAAGTTACTTAGTAAAGATGCAGTCAATTACATCATTCAGATAGACACACAATTATATTTACAGTACAAATCATGGAAATTTAAAGACATAATAAAGAAGATTATAGAATATAGATTTCTGAATATTGACAGACTATAAAAAAATATGATAACAAGAACATTGGATTCAAGATAATAATTATTGCTACGCTTGTTTTTCTAAGCTTGTTTCTCTTGCGTTTTTCAACTCCCACCGTGTTTATATCAGAGGACAGAGAAACGCTCACCATGTTTTATATTTCTTAAATACGCACACCATATCTCAAAATTGGCTTAAAAAATTCCTTTTCAAACTCAGATAATATATGTTTTCTTTCCCTAATGTGAGCAATATATACAGGAATAAACAAGATAGGTCACCACATCTGTTTAAGCACTAAAGCGCGTCAAATGGCTGAATTATAGTCATTTCCTAATTAAAGCAACATAGTGCACACTGAGAGGGTCAGCTAGTGCACACTCTCCCTGGTTGAAAATTGTTTGCAGTAAATCATGTGCAATGCAATACTTCTGAATGGCCTTAATTTTCAAACAATAGGTTGATAGTCAACTGACATTCCTTGTGAGGTTTTAACAACCATGATGGTAACACTCACCCTTTGGTTTAGGTTCAGGTTCAGGTTTTGGCCTACAAAAAAATTATATGTCTTTATAGTTATGAACAAAATTGCAGTTGAGACACTTAATGCATATTCTAGTAGTAAGATAGATAGATAGATAGATACATTGAAATCTTATGTGGGTGACATGCCCAAATGATACAGTTTGTTACAAAAAAGGAGTAAAGACTGAATTAAACCATGCAACTAGTTGTCACACAGCTTAACATGTCCAGGTCAAACCAGGATTTTGTGCCTGTATGTAAGGTCAAAAGATTGAGGCAATTCCTTGGCCATAGAAATCTAGCTGTAGGCCCATTTACATGGTATGATTTTGTGTGTCAAGACTAGCCGGCCTAGCCGGCCTACTCAAGAAGAAATGGACTTCTTGTTATGTTGGTCTTCCTGTGCTGATAATCTTGACCAAAAGAAACTACTGTTGAGAGACCTTACACCCTTCCCCTCATGGGATTTTTGAATCAACACAGGAATCCCATGAAGTGAAATTGCTTGTGAAGGAGTCTATTTGTCAAGCCAAGTCATATGCAAGTCTGTATTAAAGTGTATCCTAACAAGACAAGGAGTGACCATAGTAAATCTGGGAATCCAGRTCTACAGTATATTGATCGATAGACCATTGTATCTCTTAACAACACAAACATCACATTTTATTGTCAAAATCATTGACAATCATTACATACCTGGGCGGAGGTTCTATTGGTTTAATATGAATCTTCTTTATTGGTCTTTCCATGTCCATCAAACTATCATCTCCTTCCATTTCTATTCTATCTCTTTTCTTCTTTGATTTATCATGACTTGACATAGAAGCAGGTGAAGCACATGACTAGAAGGAACAACAATCTGAATTACAGTGCAATGGGTAAAAGTGTCACCAATGTTTTGTCTTGCTTGTTAACCAATCACTGTAATAGGATTGTGTTATTTTGTCTGGGATTTGATCGATGCTGAGACAGAAGTATGGAAATATATTATCGCTGCTGACACTTTTTAAAATGCGTTCCCCTGTAATACCCCTACTGTATTTAGGTGAAGTATTATGTTAATCACCTTAAACAGACATATAGATGTATCAAATTGGTAATTTGCAATTTTAATTTTAAAAATATTGTTCTTAATAAAAGAATGGGTATTAAGAAAAAGCAGAAAAAATATAATAACAAGGAATAAATTATATAAGCACAGTCATATGAGATGGAACAGATGCACTCTTGATAAAAAACTACCAGGTAATTTTTTTGTACATGTACAATAAGTGACTCCACTGATCATGATGTACTTTATCATTTTTGAAAATGACATCAGGATGGTTATGTTGAAATGTTGAGACTATTTTTGAATAAATGTTTTAATTATCATTGCAA